AGGTGGTCAATAAAGATTTGCGAATGAATGACCTAAAAGTTAATCAGCCTACCCAAGAGAATTATAAACATATATATCCACACAAAGACTTGGATGTGAGTGTTCATAGCGGCATTATTCACTGTCGTCCCAGTGAAGCAATCCCTGTGTCTAGACAGACCGTAGTATATCCATACACTGGAATACTATTCAGCCATGAAAAGCATGAACTTCTGACATATGTTCCAAAATGGATGAACCCCAAACATGCTATGCTAATAAAAAGAATATGTGAAAGTCTCACTATTGAGATGAAATGTCCAGGATGAGAAAATTTCATAGAGTCAGAGAACAGATTCGTGGACTTCTGGAGTTGAGTGGGGGAACAGGAAGTGATTGTATATGGACACAAGGACTTGTTTAGGGTGATGGAAGCATTCTAATTCTCTGTAGGGGACATGGCTTCACAATTCTGTAAATTTACTAAAAGTCACCAACCCGAACTGTACACTTAAGATGACTAAATTTTATGATATGAGAACTATACTTCAGTACAGCAATGTCACAGGTCTGACAGATGTCCCCGTCAGCTGAGAAGTCTCTCATCAGTTATCTGTGCAGTGACATCTGCTTTGGGCCATGCCAGCCAGTGGTGTCCCTGACACCGGCTCTGAGCCCCTTTCCCTAAGGGCCAGACACCCCCTGGAGACTTCCATAGAGAGAATCAAGGGAGCTTGACAGAGCTCTCAGTTCTCTCAGAAGTGTCCAAAGCCATTTCATGGAACATAGGGAGCGAGCCTGTGAGTCTCCGGCCAAGCTGCCTTCTCACTGTAGAAATGTAGAAAGAACACAAAGCACCCAGTCATCATTTTCCCACGGGACAAAGGACCTGCCTTGATGCTTGAATGGGAATGGGCTGGCAGCCAAGCAGGACCCCAACTCACCCCTGTGACCTACAGCTCCCTTCTGCTGAGCAAACCCTCCCTGTGGGAGCGTACAAATGCTGCTTGACCACAGTGTGAGTTCTCGTAGGAGATGACTGTGCGGGAGGTAGGACTGGCGTGCAGTGTCGGGAGCCTGACAACCTTTAAAACTCTGAGACAGAGTTTAGGATGATGCTGGAACACAGGTGTTGCTACTCTCACTGTGCATGGAGTATCCACTGTGTGCAAGAGAACACACACACATGCACACACACACACACACACACACACACACACACACCTTCCTCCAAAGCCCTTAAGGGAAGCACTGCCACCAGCCACCAACCCTGCAGCATTTCTAGGTGGGCTAAGTAGCACAGATCATTGAAGGTGACATTGCTACAAGGAGATGCACCTGCCGGCCCAACCATTGGGCCAGAGGATGGGACCACTTAGCACCACTCCCCAAACTCCTAGCTATGGTACAAGAATAGCATTTAAGGTACACAAAGAGGGTTGGTAGCAAGAAGGGTGTGGAGAGCAAGGGTGACAGTGACATTTACGTAGTACTTCCAGGAGTCAGATGGGACATGGCAGGAGACTGATACAGTATTGATTTCTTCAAGGCTCTGCCTCTTCCAAATCTAATGAAGGAGTGAAATCCAACACAGGCATGGCTTACCCTGCTGTTTAGGAGGTGTGACATCAACAAATGTTTCCTGCACTGGAAGAAGATTTGAAAGGTTTTGGAGCCATACTCTGTAGTCCCTTCTCTCTGGAGCCCATTTGAGCATGAGTTGGACAGTTCCCTGAAATGACCTGGTGTAGGATGTGTTTTCTGCATTTCAAATGGGGGAGGGCAAAAGCACCTGCCACCTAAATTCTGCTGTGCTGCTCCCCACTTAGTACTTTCAGCCTTTGGGTACACTTCCCTAGGGAAGTACGTGTACTCTGGTCCCTTCGGCAGGCTGGACGTCTCTCCTGCTGCATGACTGCGGTGCCCTGGGCAGATCACATGACTTCCTGACCTGGGACCTCACTCCTCCTGTCACTTAGCACCTGTCTATCCTGGAAGCCCCGGCTTCTGCCTGCTCTGATTCTTTCCTGTAGCACCCTAACACACACTGGCCATGCAACCGTCAGACTCTCCAGCAGAGTAGCTGTCAAAATCTCCCCCCTTGAACCAAGTGTTCTTCAGTTCTTCTGTAGGCTCTTGAACGGCAACCTGCTTTACATGAGGTCCCAGGCCACCCAAGCAATGTGTCCCAGCAGTGCCCTGGCCAGTTGAAATGTATCTAGGGTCCATTATTGGGCACAGCCTCCCTGGGAGCATGACAAAGTCCGTGCATGATGTACAAGGGATGAAAACACCATGCAGCCCCAATTTTGCTGTGTGAGTGGGTTGTGTGTCTACGTGTGGCAGGGGCACGGACCTGTCGAGAACTCTATGTGTGTGTGCACGTGCACTGCACACACAAAACAAAAACAGCAGCACGTCTGCAGTGGGAGCTCTTGGTGCTCAGACGATTATAACCTCCTTTTTCTTTTTGCTTCTCAGTGCTTTTGAAACAGTTCTGGAGAATATCTTCCATCTTCGTGTGGTAGGAGGTATTACGAATGAGTGAGGCAATGAAAATGAAACCAATACGATGATTACTGTAAGAGACTTGACCCAGTGAAATGGGGGGTTTGCAATGAGTTAGGTGTGCTTGTCTGTTACCATGGATGGGTCTCTTCCAGTGCTCCCAAAGTGTGTTCCGGGGCACACTAGTCCCTCACCACAATTAAATAACATAGCAAGCACGTGTTCTATCGCAGCCTCTTAAAAACACAGCGTCTGCTAGCCCTGAATTTCTACAGCAAGAGAACCTGGCAGTTCTATCTAGTGTTTCCCAAACTTACTCAGCCATGGTACCCTTTGTTAATTATAATGTCTGTTACCTGCATTGCACTTTGGAAACCATGTTTTTATCTCATACGTTGTTATTTTTAAATAATAGCACCCTAGTTTTGAGTGTCTTTGTTTCATTTTTGTGTTGTTGGTGAGAGGGTCTAGAGAGCTTCAAAGTTAGAAAGTGTTTAAATCCGGAGGCACCGAAATGTTTTAGCAATACACAATTTCGTGATCTGGTGGTTTTCTTCTTTATGGTAAAAGCTAAGCAGGAGTATCGCCTGGTTCCCGGCATTTGCAATGCCTTCCTTCCTCTAACGGAAACAGTAAGCAGGGAAGGAAGCGGGCTTGGAGCCCGAATCACGCAGCTCCTCCGTGCCCACCCTGAATTGAGAGTTCTCACCACAAAGCTGCGTTTCAGTCCTGCGTGGACGCTGCCTTCGCCTCGGTGCCACCTTTTCAGATGAGTGCATAGCAGTGATGGGAGAGGGAGCAGTCTCCCGAACCCCGCCCCAGACACCCAGTTACCCCAGTAATGAGGGCGACGGAGGTTAAGCAGAGCTGGCAGGTGATCAGCACTCGCTCTGAATCAGGAGCGCTTCTGTCTGGAACTGAATTCGCCTGGCGCTGGGATTTCACTGTGAGCCTTGGGGAAGGGGGGGAACAAAGCCGGGGACTCTGTCCTCCTCTGGATCCTCCTGCATTTCTTCTCCCCACTCTGCAGCCCAGGTGGGGACAGACAAGGGTCAGAAACTCAGAGGGGAGCAAACTCTTGGTTTCCAGAGGCTTTCCCACGGGGACACATACACACTTGACAAGTAAGGAGGACCTGGCATGTCAATAAGCCAGGTCGTGAAGCTCAAAAGCTGTGGCTTTCTCTTTTTTTTTTTATTCTTTTCGTGAGACAAGGTCTTGGTAAATAGTGGAGGCTGGCTTCAACCTTGAGCTCTTCTTCCCTTAGCCTCCTCAGTGCTGATATTACAGTTGTGATCCACCACACCTGGCAAAGGGATGGTTTTATATGGCTCCCTGTCTAGTGTAATGCTTAGGTTGATCTTTGGCTAAGACGGATACAACAGATAGGTTGATGGTCAGTGATAAGATTAGCTATCAGGCCACTTCCAGTCAGGATTTGTGTCGTAGAATTATAGTGTTTCAGAAAGCGTGCACAATTTGGTTTCTGGTTATTAAAGTTATCTAAATGACTTTTGCGTTTAAACAGCGCACAGAGTGCGCTCTGCACTCGGGAGTAGTTTAGCACGCATTCCCGGCTCTCCTACAGTGAATACAGCCTGTGGCTCCCATTCAGCACAGCAAAGGCAACTCACGCCCCATGGAAATCTACATCTGTCCCTGGTCACATGGACACGGCTTCGTTCCTGTTTAAATTTCCAGCTGACTGGAGCACACACAATCATGAATAAAAAGCAAACAGTGGAAAATAACTCCTTTCACCTTCTCACGGTCTGAGGGAACACGGACGGTGAGCAGGGCTCTGAGCTGCAGCCTGGTTTTCTGAAGTGACACAGCTCTCTAATGGAGTATCTGTGTCTGCAGCCATTCCCACACCAGCTGCCAGAGGTTGTGGTTTTTAAGTAAAGCTTCGAAGTGGGGCTGGAAGCCATCGCAGGAAGCCAGTTACAGCAGATGGAACAGGACAGGGACGTCTGTTCTGCTGAACATGCAGTATGAGATGAGAATCTGAGTGTCCTGTGCCAGTCAGTGACCAGCAGGGAGGAGCTCCTGTCAGGGCTCTGAACCTTTTAGAGCTCAAGGTCTGGGGTCCCCTGGGCAGGAATCCTCAGCTCCCAGTGCTGCCCAGCAAAAATGTATGTGAGCAGGCCTAAGTAGGAGGAAGACAATTTCAGCCGCCTTCTGTATTCTAGAGAAAAGTTTCCCAAAGTGACACACTGGAGATCACCTGTTGAAACCAGCTTCCGATTCAGGGTCCTGGGGTGGGGCCTGAGGCTCTGTGTTTCCAAGAGGCCCCCAGGGTTGGAGTGGTGCTGATGCAGTGTGGGGTCTGGCCAGGTGCAGACCACACCTGAAGGACCTAGGTTGCCAGGGTTGGAGCCCGGGGAGGATGCAGTTTCCTATGGCCAGCGGTCCAGGACGCTGTCCTGCCCCTAGGTGACTGCCTGTGCTGGGCTGGTGGAGGGGACAGTGCCCAGGTCTGCAGGCCCAGCTAACACCCTTCTCTTCCCCAGGGGAGGAGCGCCCCCGGGAGCCCCCGGGCCCGGCGGAGGCCCAGGCGCCGGCCGGGGCGGAGGCCGGTGGGAGGACGAGCCGGCGCCGCTGGACCTGCTCTCGGGCCCAGATCAAGAAGACCTGCTGGAGCGTGGCTGTCGTGCTGTGCGTGTGTGCCTCCTGGGCCGGCTCCACGCAACTGGCCAAGCTGACCTTCAAGAAGTTCGACGCGCCCTTCACCCTGACCTGGTTTGCCACCAACTGGAACTTTTTATTCTTTCCGTTGTACTACGCGGGGCACATGTGCAAGTCCACCGAGAAGCAGTCTGTGAAGCAAAGATACAGGTAGGGCCTCCTGGATGGCCGGTGCTCACCTGCGGCTGCTCCCGAGGCAGGCGCTGGGTGAGCTGGCAGCCTGAGTGCACCTGTTGTCTCATGGCGTCAGAATCGGGATCCCTCCAGCCTGTGTGGTGGTGCTTGCTGTCACCATCCTCAGCCTCTTGGCTCTAGAAGCTTGTGTCTTTGAGGCAGGTTGCAGGTGTTGGAGAACCCTGTAACTCAGGTGAGGAGCCTCCAGGACCAGGAGTCTCTGGAACCAGGTGGCAGGGCAGTTGCCTCCAGCTTCTTCCCCTCCTTCTTTCCCTTTCTAATTGCTAAGACATTTTCTCCATGGTGTACATGGTTGCCTGGGTCTGTGTGTGGTGTCTGCTCATAGAGAATGACATCCCTTCCAAAATGAGGCCACAAACACTGACCTCAACCTCCACCTCAATAGGCAGCAGGTCTCCCCCAACTCTAGTGGGGTCACAGTGTCAGCAATGACCAGGTGCTCATCTGTGCCAACGGTGCACCTCATGGTTGTTCCCCTCCACCACCATGGAGACCCCTGTGGCTTGCATCATGGGATGCTCCAAATTTGTTTTAGCCAAAAACCCAAGAAAGACTGCTGGCCAGTGTCACTGTAGGCTCTAGAGTGTTTTGTCAGCCCCAGAGGTGGTGCTCCACTCTTCAGAACTACCTTCTTCCCCACCTCACTGCACCCCCCCAACACATGCCCCCACCGACCATGTGTCACACCTCAGCCCGGTTCTGAAGTTGCCCTTAAAAGTCACAAGATAACTAAGAGCATGACAAGGTCCAGGGAGGAAGAGATTTGGGCATGGGGTTCTAGACAGGGGCCTGGATTTCTCTTGGGAATCTTCCACTGGCCCCGATGGAGCTAGAGGTGGAGCTAGGCGTCATTTGTTAGTGTTCGGGTGGAGTTGACCAAGCTGCCTTCAAGATCAATTGTAAAGCAGGACATGGAGCTGGGAGCCCATGCCCCGGGTGTCCTCACTGCTAACTTAAGCCAGTGGCTTACGAGCCAGCCAGAAATGGCTAAGGAGGCACTTAACACGCCACTTCTGAATAGCAGCCAAAATGGAGGAAGGAAATAGATGTAGGAACCATGATAGGGCCCAAGATGTCCCCAAAGGCAGGAGTGAAATAATGGCCTGCTTTGAGTTACAGAGAAAAGCAAATATTCAGGAAAGAATGTGGACAGTTCAATGGCCCTAAGTGTACTTAAGTTATAATTAGAAGTTTGCCTTTCTTTAACTGACTCCAGCAAAGAGCCAAAAGTGAAATATGTGCCTTACTTTACTGGGAAAGAGCCAGGCGTGATGATACACACCTGTAATCCCAGCTTCTTGGGAATCCAAGGTAAGAGGATCAGGGTTTGAGGTCAGCACAGGCAAAGTTAGTGAGAAATCTTATCTAAAAAACAAAAAGTGAAAGGGTTGGAGGTGTGGCTCAAGTGGTAAGAGTTCTTGCCTATCAACCGGCAGGCCCTGAGTTCAATTCCCAGTACCAACTTCTCCTACTGAGAAAGGCTACAAAATGGTCAAAGTAGGCAAAATGAGACGGGTTAGTTATACATAAAAGGCCACAAACATCTTGATTTCATCCTGTTGTCTTCCTATAAAACACATCCAGCAAGAATCAAGAAAGAATTCCTCCAATGGCCTTGTTAAATTGAGGATGATGTAGGAGGAAAGATCTAACTTGGTTGTGAAGTTGGTTAAAACCTCGCCCAACTTCTACCACAAAGCTTAACCCCACCTCTTCATAAAAATCTTCCTGGCTGTAAGCCGTGTCCGTCCTGTGGCTGAGCAGGGTGTCTATTCTCCCAGCCCGTTACTGGGTGTTCCATGGAGCCATGCACTCCACCCGAGGGGTGAAGAGAGAGGCTCCCTGAGAGAGGGGAGAAAAAGGCTTTAACATCCCAGACCTTCCTGGAGCAATCACGACTCTGTCACAGCTCAGATGGGGAGTACTTTAAACAGACTAGCATTCCCAGAATGGAGGAAAAACAAAATCACATCTTTCATCTTTGTGCTTTTATCAAAATGAATGCCAGAGAGAGAGCTTTCCAGGCCACTGAGCTGGGTCTCTTGGCTGGAAGCCTTAGGGAGCCAGGGGACAGGAGGCAAGGAGAGAATGCTGCCCAGAGAGGGAGGCTATACCAGTAAGGCAGCTGTCCAGGGGTTATCAGGAAACAGTGAGGTGACATTTGTTTTCTCGCCTTCCCTGTGAACTGAATGCATATGGCACAGCACAGAGCTCCTTGGGCTGCAGCCCCCAGTGAGTTGTGGGTCTTGTCACAGGCCATGGGGTTGGAGGGTCTGGGTTTTCTGACTGCTGTTCCCCTGAGGAGTGATCAGGCACTCTGGAGTTGCTGGCCACAGGCCCTGCTGTGACTATAAAGGTTGTTTTAGGGTTGTTGCCTCTCAACTGCAGGTTTTTTAAAATACTGCTGATCTGACCAAATGTAAGAATCAGAACTCACCTGGCCACATAGCACTGCGAACTGCTCAGTGTCCAAATCCTGGTTTGCCGCTTGCCAAGGGAGGCTCTCGTGGATATGTCATCTGAGCTCTGGAGCCTCAGATGCTTGTTTGTGAAGGGATGGTTCATGCACCATCTTGCACAAAAGATGACCATGTGATTACATGAAGCATGGGGATGACAGTGCCCTGTGCCACCCGAATGCAAGGCAGAGCCTGCATGTGAGCCCCCCCCATGGTGACATGGAGGAGGAAGTCTGCGTCGTGCTCACCAGCTGCCTGGTGGTGGCCTTTTTAAACTGCAGGGAGCTGGCCAGTGCTAAGGTGCCTTGTTGGTGTCAGCCTAGAGGAAATCTGCTGACAGCCCAGCATCCTGTACCCTGGGCCAGGCTTCTTACGGCCAGGACAGCAGTTGAGAATTAAAGTCTGAGGGAGCCAACCTCAGCCCAACCAGCCTGGGATGTCAGCCCTTGCCTTGGGGGCTTCCCAGCTGCACGGTAGGGGGTCCCTCCCTCCCCCCAAATGATGAGCACCCCACTGTGTCTTCCCTATTTCTGGGTGGAAGCTAGGATTGCCCCAGTAAGATGGCCATAGGACACCCTGAGGAAGCAGCTGTGCCCAGAACTCAGCAAGGGCTCCAGCCAAGAGGAACCACAGTTTCCCGCACAGCTACGCACTGGGCAGGTGCAGGTGCACAGGGAATGGTGGAGGAAGCCCTTTCAGGTCCCCAGCCTGGAGACACTGTGGAGGGGAGGTGCAACAACACATAGCATCCCAGTCCCTCTGACCCTGGGAAAAGAAGACAGCTTCTCAGACTCAAGAGGCTACCGTAGTCAGCTGAAACCAAACCAGAGTGGATCGGGGACATTTGCAGTCTTGTCAGAAGGCCTCCCAGGAATTCCTAGCATAGTGACCTGCTTTCAAAAGCAACTGCTAAGACCTTCTGCTATCATTCAACTGCCAAAAATAGCGAAGGGCACACAGATGTTCTCCCCTACCTTTGTAGATCCAGGCTTCTGAAAGCTAGCCATTGATTCTGTCCAGACACTCTGAACCTCACCAAGAAAGGGACAGGACAGTTTGGAATCCTTGTATCTTGCATCCCCAAGGGTCCAGTGTGTCCATCTATCTGCATGCATTGCCACAGAAACCATACTGGGTCTGTAGCAGCCACTCAATGACTGTCAGAGTCCAGGGAGCTGAATGGAGCAGTTGCCACCTAAAGGTTTGTTTTTTCTGAAAATGGTTACTGTGCATCTTCTCTGGGCGAGGCACTGGGGGTGCAGAGATAAATGGTCCCTGTCCTCAAGGAGCCCAAAAACCTGGTAAGGGACTTAGCCAAACAAGGTGGGATGCATGCATAGGCCAGGGCAGAGAAGCCTGGGTGCACATGTCCTAGAACAGAGAGGAAAGGTTTCTAAGAGGAGTGAGCCTGGACAGGCAGATGGCTGGCTCAGTGCTGAAGGAAGAAGTCAAGGACATTCTGGGCAAGGGGGGAGCAGGAGGTGCCTGGGGTGAGGTAAAAACAGACCCTGACAAGCCTCCACACCATACAGAGGCAGTTTGGTTCTAGCATGAATGGTGGCAGTAGAACCCCAGGGACAGTCAAGTTGAATTTTTAGAAATGTGGCTCCTACATGTCTGTGGAGAATAGGAAAGAACCAGCTGCAGGTCCATCCAGTTCTCTAAATGCCCCCTCGATGTCTGTGTGCCCAGGGCAGTGTGGGTGACATAGGTGTTGTTCTTGACCTCATGGGGCTCACTACCGAGTAAGAGAGAGGCCCACAGAAAAGCGGAGTGGAACATGAGAAGAGGAGGGCTATATCTTGGGGCAGGCTGGCTTGGCTCTGTGAGGACAGAGTACAGGGGATCTTAGGGTTCTGTGGTCGGATGGAGGCCTGGAAGGGGAGGGCGTTGGCTGCAGGGCCTAGGGGTTGGGGCGTTATTCCCTAGGCGATGGGAGCTCCAAGCTTTTGAGTAGAGACTCGATATAATCAGAGCTGCCTTCAAAAGCAGGACTTGTGGAGGTTGTTACATAACTGGTTACAGCGTATGTGCTCCTTCCACAGAGGAGGTGGGATGACTGTCAGGTGTCTGGTTGGCGGGGGGATGCCTGGTTTTTGAGTAGCAGCAAGAATTCCTAGTACAAATCTGGAAGTTTTGGTCTCTTGCTTTGCACTGGCAACCTCCACTTCAGCCTATGACAAACTCTTGTGTCAGTGAAAATCACTTCTAGCAACATATTCACTAAACTCTGGCATTGTGAAGACAGGCCGTCAGGGCACCAGAGGACATGACGTTACAGGGCTGGAGGAGTAGCTCAAGTGGTAGAGCACCTGCTTTGCAAGCACAAAGCCCTGAGTTCAAACCCCAGCCTCCCCCAAAAAAAATTAATGGAAAAGATGTTATAAACATTCTTGGAACCCAGTGGGCAGCACTGCCCTCTGACCCCAGGAGTCTGGTGGCAGAGGTCCGACCTGCCTGTCTTCAAGTGGGATCCAAGAGCCTTATTCAAGCCAC